CCCCCCCCCCCCCCCGCGCGCCCCACTCACCAGCTCGTTGAGGTCACCGAACTCCGTGCTAAGGCTGTCCGTCTCCATCAGCGCCGCCAAGCCTTGCTGCAGCGTTCGCACCTCTTTCCTCAACAACAGGGCGCCCCACTCGGTGAACCCCCCCCCCCCTCCCCCGGCGCCACCACCACTACCACCACCGTGCCCCTTGGCCCTGGCCGCCATCTCCACGCCCGTGGCGACCCGGCTCGCCAAGCGCCGCACCAGTTCCTCGAACGGTTCCTGCAGCAGCGCGGCGCGGCAACCTCCATCCGCCCCCGCCCCCGCACCCGCACCACTCTCCCCGCTGCTGTCGCTGCCGGTCATCGCGCGCGTTGCTGCGTGTAGGACGCGGCGGGCGCCGGGGAGGTCGCCCGATCGGAGCTCGTACTGGGCGGGGCCGAGGGCGTACGACGAGGAGCCAAAGGCGTTGGCGATGGCGCTCGACACGGGGGGGGAAAGCGCTTCCAGGACGTCGTTGAGGCGGGAGTCCCGCAGTTCCTTGTAGGACCGGAGTATCCGCGCCACCTCGTCCAGCATGAGGCCCACCAGAGGGTTGCTCGCTTCCAGGAACCGATTCAACGCGTCCTGGCGTTTATTCAAATCGTCGTTGTTTTACAAAGGAAGTGTGGAACGTGTCACAAATAGCGAAGGCAGTGAAGCATAGACAAATGATAATACGCAGGAAGTATCGTTGTTGCACGCTAGCACTCGGCAATAAGAAAAGACTGAAGCGGAATCGGGCGACGGCACAAGGTGTTTTGAGATGGGCAGTCTGGAAGGAGACCGCCGAGGTCTTTCGGGTAGAACAAAACAAGGGGGTCGACGAGCAGCAAGTACCATTTCTTGACAGTGCAAACCAATATCAACGCGTCTTAACGGTGTAAAAATGCATCAGAACCTCTTGGGGATCGATTTTCAAAACTCGATTGCTCCACTCTAACATCGCGCCCATGCCGAATGCCACGTAAAACTATTCCAAAAACCCTGAAATAGATCTTTTCAGTGCCGCCCTTCTCGATATCAAACAAAAATCTCCCGAGGAGCAACCCAGCTGTTGAATCTCGGCTTGCTGCTGTAGCCTGGTATTGACCGTTGTACCCGGTAGCAAAACAAATGCAATGGGCGACATCTTCGATTAGATGGAGTAGGACAAACGAGCACGAGAAGGGGGTCGGGGGGGGGGTCGAGGCAGAAATAGTGCCTGCCGATCTTTCTGTCTGGCCTGGCCTTGTGGCCGCCGCCACGCCCTGAGCAATGCGTACAACAAATCTTTTCGCGCGTGTCTCTGTCCGTGTACGAGCACGCCCGTCGGCAGGGCTCACGCCCCATCGGGCAACGCGCACATAACCTGTCGTGTACCTGAATCGCAGACACCGACGAGAGCGCCACGTGCACGCTATTGATCCCGACCATCGCGCCCTCGACCTCGCCGAACCCCTCCCCCGCCCAGATGCCGGCGGCGCCCCCGTTCCCGCTCCCCTCCCCTCTTGGGCCCGAATGCTCGTCTGCGGCTTCTTCGAGCGCCCTGCGATTGCCACGCCGGAACGTACGCAAGAGTATGCCAGCGACAACAAAAGGGCGTACATGAGGAGCCACACGCACGGCTTTCCGCGAGTCGACTAGCTTGACGAGAGTAAACATTGTTGCGCTCTTTAAGGCGGGCGAGTAGTAACAGCGGGGGTTCTGCGGCGCAGCGAACCCGGCGTTCGCCTCAGCGCTCCGTCAAGGTTCAGCTTACCACCCCCCACAATCCTGCCTTGGGACAGACGCGGACGCGGCAGATTCTGTCTGACCCCCTCCCCCCCCTCTCCTTTTTACCGAAACGCCAAATAAACATCAACCCGAACCACCACTGTTCTTTTCGCCGCACGCTCACGGCCCAACGTCGTACTCCACCACACTCCCATCCACATAACCCCCTAGAAGCGCAATGAAAACGCAGAGCACGCCTTAAACTGTTCAACAAAAATGTAGGACCCACTTCGCCAGAGCCGTGGAAAAGTCGTTCGGCTGCTGGTCGCTCCCCTTCTCGCCGTCGCCCCTCCCTCCCTCACCCCCACCCACGGGGACCCTGTGGTCCGCCTCGGTCGCCAGTCCTCCGTAGAACGATGGCTCCGGCGCGTGCGGGTCCAGTATCTGCGGGCGGGAGGTCGTGGATGCGGAGGCAGAACGGGCAAGCGGCATCGCGGGCGCAGTTGTTTGTGTGTGTGTCGTTTTAAATAGCATCGACCGCGCTAACCGGCTGGCCAATGAGAAGACGTCAGTCTCAGTGCGGTGGAAAACACAAAAAGCTTCCATAGGTCACGATTTGGGACCCTGGGACCGAGCGTCATGGGGGAGCCCACGCTACTCTCCGGACTAACGATAGATACCGCAGCAACAACACAAAAAAAACTGCAAGTTTTTGCCGTGGCTGCTACTTGATTGGATGCGCGTGCGTTTTGCATTGGTTCCATCGTCTTCCCTGCATTTACTACCGCCGCTCTCGTTGCCAGTATCCACACTACTTTTTGGCAGGTCCTCCAGGTCTGCGGCGTTTGCTGTGAGGAAGGTCATCTGGCTCAAATCCTTTCTCTCTTCCACGCCATGTTTTCCTCCTCTGTCACCGCCCTAATTCTCCTTTCTTTCCTTCCCCTTCTTCCATCATTGTCACTCTCAATACCATCGTTGTCGCTTTCAACAGAACAATTACCGAAATCCCAACCTATCGGCCGTGGTGGAAAATGGTCGATCAGTAGTTCATGACGCTTGAAAACATCACGAGTTCGTACCGACAGAGAACGAGCCAGCTCGAAGGTAAACCGTCTCCGATTAGTGGATGGCCAACCATCTGACCTACGAAGCCTTTTGCAGGAAGAAATTCGACGACGAAACCGCCTTGCTTCGCCTGAAGGCTTACCATACAACAGAAATCGGAGACGATTTACCTTCGAGCTTGCTCGTTTTCTGTTGGTACGAACTCGTGATGTTTTCAAGCGTCATGGACGACTGATCGATCAGTTTGTGTGTTTTCAATAATAGCATCGACCGCGCCAATAGGCTGGCCAATGATTCTAAGTCAGCCTCAGTGCGACTGAAAACAGAAAACGTTTCCAAACGCAATGATTCGGGACCTCGTGAAGGACCAAATCCCTGCGTAAAGGATACACGTATTTTGAAGAAAAACAGTGACTGCTGCCCTTACAGCGGGGGCAAAACTGTACACACACAAAAGCGAGAGAGAGAGAGAGAGAGAGAGAGAGAGAGAGAGTCAGAGGGGAAAGATGCACAGAACAAAATGAACAAGGGAAATGGGAAGCGAACAGAGAAAACGCAGACGCAGACGATACCGTCAAAGGACGACAAAATAAAAGTTCGCCTGCTCCCGTGGCGTGGTGGATCATCCCCTAGCCAGCCTGACCTCCGTCACCCTGTTGCACACGGCCATGATGGCTTGCTCGCTGCGAGTCGACACCGAGCGCCGCAAGCTCTTGTGGACCAGGAAGCTGGCGTCCTCCACCATCGAGCTCACGTACGTCCCATCCTGCACCTGGAAACGAACGGCGTGCAACGATACGGCAGTGTCGGGTTTACGTACGTCTGTGTCTGTGTCTGTGCCTGTGTCTGTGTCTGTGTCTGTGCCTGTGCCTGTGTCTCTGTCTCTGTCTCTGTCGATCTCAGGATGCCGCCTTTGGTTTGCGCGCCTGTGTCTTGCGTACAACATTATCGCAATTTTCGAGAGGCTAAGGCTGTGCCGCTGTGACCAAGGCTCCAAGAGACCAGTCTAAAGCGCAACAGTATTAGTGACAAACGACGTGGCAAGCAGTTTTGTTGACAACGGAACATTTCACACAACATAACAGCAGCCAGCAGGGGCAGTGACAGAGGGCGGCCGGGGGTCCAGGCACACCGTCGGGTCAGCAGCATACCTACGAATTAAGGATAACTATTTCCACATCATCATCGAATGCGTACTATACTATGCGCGTCTCGTACAAGCACAATCGTTGGCACGTAAGACCGGCGTGGCAACAACAGCAACTGTCGCATATTTCTTAACGCCACGGCACCAGATCACACCATACCACGCCACACTCCACCTTGCCGTACCTCTATGGGCTCGGCTATCCGCATGGCTTCTTCGACGCTCCTGAGGCAGTACGCGTCTTCCAGTTGCACGTAGGCGCCTTCTGTCAATCGCACCTTGTTCAGCAGCATACACACAAGTGCAGAGAAAGATGGTCAAGCGGGTGAGGAGTCAAGCGGGACAGCACTCGGGCGCGCTTTGGCTAGTCTTCCGATTCATCCCGCCTCACCAGTCCAGCTTTTCCGGTAGAAATGATCACGAGTGAGTCATGCCAACCAAAATGTACCCCAAAGAGAAGGGGTCTCCCGTCAAAATGGAGCATCTGTTGGGGCTCGATAACAACACCAACGCGACAAGAAAACGCCAACCAACACCCGCACAACGACTTAAGTCCTGTCGGCTACTGGCACAGAAAAGGGAGAGAAACAACAACAAGGATTCCGGTCTTCTCGATACATTTTTTGACAAAAGGGAAGCACAGCAACCCAAGTAGAGAGGTCTACTTGACTATACAGAACCAGAAAAAAAACAAAGGTTTGAGATCCCGGGTACACAGCATTCTGTGCCGCGAACTTGTTTTCAGCAACAACAATAACCGCGGGTTCGCCTACCCCAACCCAGACACTATCCTGTTCGGAACGCCTGTTCGGTCAGAGCATCGCTTGGGGTGCGTGCGAGGGTCTTAGCAGACGCGAGGTTGCTGCGTACGTGTGTCGTCATGCGACACCGCTACCTCAATCCGGATGGGGTGAACGAAACTCTGCCTCTTACGCCCGAACGACGCTGAATAACCGTCACCTGCTCCTCGTCCCCTTGCCCCCCTCAACCAACATGCACCTGCCCGTTCCATCAAACACGCACACACCTGAGCGTAGAACTCGGACGACTGGTCCTCCGGCAGGCCCAGGTCGTCGGCCACGAAGTCAAGGTATCTGTGGCAGTACTGCACGTCGAATCGGCAGTGAACAGTAGCGGCGGGATTGTTGTCATGGCCAATTCAAGGGTACGCACTGATCGCGTACGGGCCTCGGGGTCCCCTAACCGGTAGCACGCGTCCATCTGCGGGAAAACTTATTCTACCAAAGCTTATCTGTAACGTAAAAAACCTTGGCGGGATGAACGCCCCTGACTGGGTTTGTCCTGTCTACCCGAGATGATGTGTGTGTGTAGGTGTTATGCAGTGTCATGGACTTTCGATGCTCGTTGGCGGTCCGCCCGCCCATCGACCCACCAACCCACCTGGCAGGCAAGCGCCATCTCATCGATTACGAAATCCATCCCTCGCGCGTCGAACAAGCCCTCCCCGCCGCCGCCGCCGCTGCCGCCGCCACCGCCACCGCCGCCGCGGCCGTTGCCGCTGGTAGGGGCCGAAGACGGGCGGCTCCCTCCACCGGCAGCCGCCGCTCGTTCCACCGCGGTCCTTCCCGATACCTGTGCTTGCCACTTGGGCAGGTCTGCGTCGTGCTGGAACCACTCTAAAATCTTGACCGCCTAATCCGTATGTGTGTGCCCAGCAAAATTACAAGCGTGAACAGGCGATTTCACAAAGGGGGTGATTTTGAGCGGGTCGGGAGTCCCATGGATTTTATGTCCTGGAATTCAACGAAATAACAACCTGAATGCATGCGCGGTCAGCAGTCGACTTGAACGCCAAAAAAGAAGCAATTCGACAGCGGCGAAAGGCAAAGGAGAAGCGGCGGGATGGATGGGACCAGCAGGAGCCCCCATCACACCTCTTTCAGTCTGCTCGCAAGTAAGCTGATACTTCGCGCGCATTGCAACGTCTCGACGCATTACGAAGGTACTTCTACCGCCTTCAAGCGCTGCAGTTGATACACGAGGAAACTTTGATCGAGTTGGCAAGTACTTGGATCACCAGAAAAGCCAGGAGCGCAATCGATGTTTCTAGTCCTTTAGGAGAAAAGACGTGGAATCCGTAATCCAGGTGGCACATCGTCGAAAGTCTGACACACACAAAAAAAAAATATTGGACATCTTCCAAACCGAACCACGAGCGGCCTGCGATCCCTTCGTGAGAGTACCATACACCCCCCACAAAAAAACACTAGCCACAACCGTCTACCCATCAAGTATCAACCTGAGTCTTGCTGTCCTTATGCAGCAGTTCGGCGACCGGTTCCATCACCCCGTCCCCTAGGCTAGACTCAGCGAGCCGGACCATGAGCTTGCTCCCTTCCCCCAAGACGGTCGCAAGAGCCGTGATGTGGGGGTGGGGGTCGGCAGCGGCCGCGGCACCGCGTTTCCCCCCTTCCGACGCGTCCCCCCCTCCTCCTCCTGCTGCTACCCCGCCGCCGCCGCCGCCGGAGGCGAGGCTCAGGCGGTACAAGGGCCGCAGCGAGGAGAGCTTTTTGACGGCGGCGTCGTTGGCCTGCTTGAGCCTATTTCGGAGGAATCTGTGTGGCAAGGACCGGACGGAAAGATGGAAGCGTGTGCGGCGGCAAGGGGGGGGGGGGGGGGGGG